AATATTTCAATAATTAAAGGAAACGCGATGTCAAATATCGGTCACAATCACATCACGTGAAAGAGACTTTTGGCAGAAAAGGCACGGAAGTGATGCCATGCAAGTGGCATCACATATTCGTATGAATTCGAATCTATTTGAACCATCTGAAATGTCCTATCTCGGCCAGATTTTCGGTTTATTCAGATTGATCTGGAAACTGGGATCAAAGCCCTCATGTATAAGTGTTGTATGTGTAAAGCCATGTCTGGCTGGGGTACCGTGATCGGGGCATGCAACTCACAAGCACAAGGTTACAAATTCAGCCCATCATCCTTTTGGAGTTGGTACAATTATTACCACGTTTTTTTTAAATCAATGGTTATCCTACATAGGAGCTGTTCCCCAACATCGGGATGTTGGAATTTCCACCGCTGGTTTTGGGCTGCACGTAGAGATGAACACTGCTTCAACGCTCCCTTCAGTATCCAGACCACGTGTATGTAGCGTATGCTGTTCATGTTTAGGTTCACACTGCATTAGAATCCCAGTGACCCAGGTTCATCGCTAGGGCATGTTGCAATTCAGCTTGAACTGTAAATCCGAACCTGCGCTGAGCCTCGCATAAGTCATCTAAGCCTCTAATGAGCACCTGATGAAGAGTGCTTGTTGGTTACCAATGCAGTTAATTGGCCACCAATGCAGTTAATTGGTCAGAGACAGTAGAGCTGTACTTGCCCTAATTTCTTGTGCCACCTTCTCTGCTTGTTTGTGTGCGCAAAACTTATCTCGGGGGCAATGTTAACCGTCTCAGATGACAGCCCAACTTTACAGCTACACTGCGCGCAACAAAGACAAGCACTCGTAAAACTTGAAAGTTATGAATGCGCAGGAATGCTGTAAATCTACGGTCCCGCGATATGGCAACGTAAAATTCTGTTTGCACAATAGAAATCATGTGCGCATTGACAATTGATTATGGGGGGGGGGGCGTGGGGGGGTGGGTAGTTAAATAATCCACGTACTTTATTCATTTCCTTCTTTGCCCTCTACTTATCGACTTATTTATTCACGTGTAAAAAAAAAAAGAAATAATCGGCAAGAGGGGGACGGACGCCGAGGCTTGATGGGACATTGGGCACAGGCGGCGGGCGCAGGCGAGACGAAACTCGTGTTTACGCAAACGGCACAAACAAATAGACTCCAGTTATCTCGCCGTAAACACAGGCCTGGCGTGGCAGTGCATTTCAAAACTTGCATTTCAATGGGCTCGGCCCAAAACCCCGCACTGTTAATTACATATTATATTTTATCTCTGCACTGCCACACGCCTCTAATCTGAGCCTGCCGTATAAGCATCCATGGTGGCAATAATGTTATTTTTCTTTATTTTTTCCCCTACTTTTCCCCCTCCCCACCCATCCATTATCCACCCTCCTTTTTTTCTCCCCCCCTTGGCATAGAATGTGGTGATTCCAGGGAAAAGTGACAGACTAAATGAAATCGATATTTGGACACAGTTATCGAATGCGTGAATGTTTGCGCTGGTTATCATTGGCGCTGTAGGGCTACGGGTGTAAGTTCACGATGGGTTTTGATCAATCGCAGGTTGCTTTATTTATCGCTGTCGTCCAAAAGCCAATGGCCTTCCCGCGTGCGTACAGAATATCGCTCTTAATTTAGGGAACACATGACGGAAAAGACGTGAAATTTTTACTTGGATGTTTTCTAATTGTAAAATTGACATTTTATTTAAAAAAAAAATTTAACAAAAATGTCACATTGGTAGTGTGGCGGTTCGGCCACCGGTTTGGAATCCTCGGCAGCTTTTGCGAGAACGCGTTTTTTTTGTTGCCAGTGATATAACTCGACGTGTGCGTTTTCAGATTGCACGTCTTTTATCACAATTCATCACAGGAGCTGGGAGCCACTAATCTAATCCAGTATTTTAACACGAGTAAGACTGAATATGGATTAAGCAGGCGTTCATTTGAAAAAGATGAAGAGGCGAACTGAAACAAAAAGAAAAAGGGTGCAGGATTGCGCTTGTGTGTGGCTGGTGAGGACGGATGGAATTGGTAGGGTTTTCACGCGTGTGTTGGCGCGTGTGCGTATGCATGCGTGTGCGCGCCCCTGCAAAGGGACTTGGAGCCTGAATCTGCCAGAGCCGATAGGGGTGGCCTTGGAAATAAATACCCCTCATTAGCCGGCGGTAATCAGAACCGCCTTCACAGCTGCCCCATTGTTTGCTCGAGAAAAAAAAAACATCAAGCCAGCCGCACTGACACCATCCCAGCGACCTTAACAATTAGCTGAAGTTCAAAGACACGCCGGGTTTAGACTACCGCTGAGTGGGCAGTGGAGAACCGCGATAACCACAAATGCTGAAACACTTTTTAATTAATTTTCTGGAATTAAAAATGCAAATGAGGCATGTGTGGCTTTTGTTTTAAAAAAAAATCAGCTTTCTCTACCCCCCCCCCCCCCCCCCCACTTTACGCCAAACATCGCCACTCCTCCTCTGTCCTCTGTTCCCTCTCCTCCTCCTCCACCACCACCAGAAGCATTCTACCATCTCCTCGTTATCCATCGCCTTCCCATGCAAACGTCATCCCCATCGGGTGGACATAAGCGACGTTTGCCGTCGTTTTGTTCTTCGTGCAGCCGGCCAGCTCGAATGGCGAGCGCGCTTGAGTGGTAAACACACCCTTGCATTTAGATGCGTATCGTCGCCGGTTTCTGCTCACATTTCTAATCACGCAAACGCCTTTCCTTCGAATCGCCCGGCAAGCCCGCTTAATCTCATAGAAGCAGCTTGACACTTGTCTGATTGAAAAATTTTGGTGCAGCCCTCAACCACAATGGCCATTTCTGCATACAAAGCTGTCCAAAGGGGGAGAGACTGAGAGAACGAGAGAGAGAAATTCTACTTAGGTAATACATTTATTAACAACAAAAAATCTACGCAAGCTGTTTTTGGCAACGCAAGGCATGCATTCTTTGGCGGTTGCAGGGTTTACATCAGAGGGAGGAAAGAGAAACTTTTGTTGTTGTTGGAAGTCACATGACTATTGGCAAGACATCTGTCATACATAGCAAGTAGGGAGAATATTCTTAAATTTGCATTTTTATTATGGTCATCAGCATAATTCATTTTTATTTATATATAAAACGGACAAGATATTTTGTATCTCTTACCTTCACCGTTTTTTTTCCCGTGGAATTTAAAAAGTTAATGTAAGAGCCACCAGTTCTAGATTTTAGCTAACATCTGGCTTAGAAATCATCTATAATTCAAGGATTTGATTTCATGTAACTTGACCAGGCACAGATGCTTGTGACAGGTAAACAAGCCATACTGTATAAAAAAAACAGCTCTTTGCTGGAATTTGACTGCCAAATTTTCTACAGTTTAAATGCAAAATGCATTTGAGCGACTGCTGTTTTGCTTATTTATTTATTTATTTTTCGTTAGCAGGGAGATGATTCGCCGAGTTTTTGGGGATTTTATTTCTTAATTTTTTTTGTTCCAAAATGTGATTCAAAGCATTGCAATTTGAAGCCAAATCTCTCCCAGGTGTGACACTGCAGATGGCAAAGCCTCTAATTAGTGGTAATGAATCATGCTGCTCATAGCATGTTTATTATGTTCCATTAGGCAAACCTGCAACATAACTGGCACTTTTGCCGGTTCAGAAATCATAGCAAATTCAGACGTGGCATTAGTACGTGCAACATCGCGGTAAAATTGCACCTGAAAACTCGACGCTGTTGGTAAAATCAATGTACCTTGATTAATTGCAATTTACGCCCCCCCCCCGTATCCAAGACGCTGCTGGCAAAGCCTCCGATGATTGCGGCGCGCGAAGTGGGTTTGATACCGGGTCGCGATGCGCGCTTTTTGGCTCCGTGCTCCGGCAGCGAGGCTCGGCAATTAAAGGCGTGGAGCGTTGATTGCTCGCAATGCCTGATTTAAAATCAAGCTCTCCCTTGCGAGTGGCTCGCTCGCACGTTCCAAGTTTTTCGGAGCGCTAAGCGGCAGATGGCTACTTTGTAGATGAGGACACTACCGCCATTCACCGATTTGTTCTCGCATTAATGCGGTTATTGCAGGTTAATATCGCGCAGCTAGGGGACTCGCTGTATTGTACCGCGCACTGCACACATTAGTGGAATGTGTGCGTGTGCTGCGGATGGGGGTTGAGAGTCAGGGAGGAGTGCTGTGGGCCACTTTAAAATGCGCGCTACATTCCCTTTGTTTTAGTCTTTAGTTGTGAAATCCATGGAATCAAATTGATTTTTCAAATTTTCAAAGGGCAATGATGCTTCATTCGCCACCCACACCCCCTAATCCCCATTCCGGTGTTAATTATTTATTTCCACACGCGAAAGATGCATGTGTTCGTCGGGAAATAATGTTGTTTAGCAATTCATAATCTCATAAATAATGGTATTTTACCGCAATCGCTCGAATGTAGGAACAAATTATTTCATGAGATTCATTCATCATCCATAAAACTTTCCCAATATGCGTGAATGCTTGAGCTTATAGTGCAATGATTAATCCAATCCACACATATAAGAGTGCCTGCCAAGGAAAGAGAATGGCACCTGCCATAGGTATATATAATTTCAGCACAGACTCCTGGTCGCTGACGGAGATGAGAACCGTCTAATGCTCGTTTGAGCAGCGAGAAATGTTGACTTTTTTAAATTTTGGTTCTATGAAAATAATCTTTATCCGTAAATTGCGATTCAGTCATAGGTCTAAGTGTCTCCCTGCTTGATGATCATTGGGAATTCTCATCTCCATTGGTGGCCCAAAGCCAGCAGAGGCAACTCCACATTTCTATGGTGGAGACAAGTTGAAATAAGTGACAAGACCCTTTCAAGAATGTCCTGTTATAACGTCTGAACAATTCATATTTGTATTGAAAATAATAGATGCAAATGGATGATTGACTGTGTGTACTTAATGCTAATAACATATATATGTGTGTGTCTTTTTCATTCATTCACAGATGCATCGCTGATGGTTAACGGCACATCCCTCTCAAATGTACCTGCAGCCTGTGGCCACCTTCGCTATAATTACCTGCTATGATGGCCCCTTAGAGCACGGGCTCCACCTCGCAGGACTATTTGGACATGACTCCTAATTAGCCCGCTGCAGCGGAGTGCACCGCCCCCGGCGTATCATGACGGATCCAGGTCAACATGCGTGCAGTGTTTACAAGCAGGGCGACGCAGCGTCATATCAACAAGAGATGGGCCGCGGCCATGCCGGCCCCCCTCCGAGTTTCAGCGCCACTCTGGACGACGGCGCCTTTACCAGGGACCCGTCGGCCACTGCATCGGCAACATCGGCGGCGGCGGCTGCGGCAGTTGCGGCAGGATACACGCACCAGCGGGAAGCCATCATTCGACCGCAGCAGGCGCGGAAGTTCGGGCTCGTGCCGGGCGGTGGTAGTGGCGGCAGCGGCGCAGGCTCAAGGCTCACGTCGGGATGCCAAGAGATGAAGGGATGGGGAGTGAGCCGCTCGCCCGCACGCTCGCCCAGCGGCAAGCACAGGGGGCGGGAGAAGTTCAAGCGCTTCGGCAAGGGGGGTCGGCCCAGCTCGTACGGAACCAAGGGGAGCCTCACCATCGGCATCGCTTACCCACAGCAGAAGTCCGCGTCCCAGCCACAGAGGATTCGTGACGCGGGCGAAGGCGCTGCGCAGTCGCACGAGGACAGCGACGGGAAGGGCCTCCTCCTCTCCTCTCCGCCGGCGTTCGTAAAACGGGCCCAGCACTTTCAGCAGGAGAATGACACCTGCTATGGGACTTCAGCTGATGCTGGGCTGCAGCAGCAGCAGCAGTTGCAATTACCAATAGCACAAATGCAGCAAACGCATCATTTTTATCGCCCGTCTTCAGGCCAGAACTTTGGGGTGCAGTCTTGCGGACAGTCTCTGTTGAATCACGCCGCGGACAAGCATTTCGCAATGAAACCTCGAACAAATGAAGGCGACGTCCTGCATACGCACGGCCAGGAGAAGTATTTAAACAATGTCCAAAATCAATGCGCGGCGAGCCTCCAGCAAGTCCTGGCGTCCGATCCATCGTTTCTCCTTGCCGACGACGCGATCTGCAGCTACAAATCGAACGCTACTATTCACGCGCAAAAACGTTTCAGCAGTGCGACTCTCGTGAAGCCAAACCATAACTACCAGCAACACAGCCGGGGAAACAGCCACCACTTGCATTCACAGCAACAAGCACCCACGAACGCTTGCGACTCACAAATCTCTTTAGCGACAAGTCCCGTGACTTGTACAGATAGCGCGGCACTGGAGAGCAGCCCCGCGGAGCATGACCTGTGGCACATGCAGAGGTCCCAGACCCCCGGTGTTCACGTGGCAACAGTGTACGTAGGGCCCCCTCTGTGGAAGGGCAGCACAGGTGGATCTGCTTCTCATCCCCTGCCTCAAAGACAATCGATCATTGAACTCAAGAACCCGCAGCTGACTATGGCAAACGGATCTCAGGCTATGAAGACGACTACTGCTCGGGCAAATGTGAATGGTGCATCGCAGGACTTCGCATCTTACCAGGAAATGTCGTTTTTAGCGATGGATCCACATGGCAATGAGCCGCCCGAAATTCTGCACCATCAACACATGTCCAAGTACGACGTTCTGCCTCCCTACACGAGGCCAAACGTGCACCACGCCAACAGCTTAGCGGGTCTGCCACTCAGGACAGACTCGGCGAACCAAATTTGCAAGCAGCAGGTGTTCGTCCCCCCTTCTTCCACTTCCAGAAAAGACAACAAGCAGTGGGCACACCCTACAAACTATGGACTTTCAAAGCCGCACAACAACCACAAGGTATCGGACGTTTTTAAACATTACTCTGCCGCCGTCGACATCGCGTCCATAACCAACCAACAGCTACCGTGGATGCTGTGCGACGAGGCACACCCGCCGCCCTCGTCCAAGAACAGCGTCTCCTACAGCCTCGCCGACCTGCCCGCCTACCCGGCCACGCTCGAGCTCTCCCCGGGCATGCCCGCCATGTCCTGGTTTTCATCTCCCGCGCCGGGCGCAGACGACGGCTGCCCGCCGTCGCCCGCGGAGTTCAACCTGAAGCAGCCGCCGTCCGGCTACGAGTGGCGTGTGCCGACGTTCGACGGCAGCGGGGGGTCGTCCAACTTTCCCGACAGCTGCGCGAGCGGAGCGGACATCGCACGTGTGCTCGACCTGCAGCCCCCCTACGGCGGCGGGCAGGTGGGCGAGGCGGGCGACTCTTCGAGCGAGTGGCCCGGAGCGGAGCACCCGCTGCTGAAGGCGCCAGGCGGCTCGGCCGAAGAGTCGGAGGACTCCGCGCAGCAGAAGCTGCTGAGCTCGCTGAGCAGCGCCAACCTGGACCAGCTCAACGTGCTGCTCAAGTGCAAGCAGTGCGACAAGCAGTTCAGCACCGTCGGAGCGTGCCTCCACCACAGGCAGTTCTGCTCGACGTCCGCCAACGCAGCGGCGGTCGCGCACAGGGCGTCTCATCCGCGGAGCGATGAGGCGGAGCAAAGCATGATGGGAGCGCCGCACTGCCGGCCGCATGAAAGTCTCCAAACTCTTCACAGGACCAATAAGTTTGGCACGATCGCAAACAGGCTGTCAATTCACGACGGCGACAAAGATGTCGGGGCCGGCAGGCTCAATGGCCTGTCGCTGGATGGCAGCAGTTTCTGCTCTCCAGCACCCAGCGAAATTGAGATTGAAGAAGCAAAGCTCGACAGCTTGATCTTGGAGACCTTGAACTGCCTGAGCTACCAGCTTGATGGCAGCGACATTGAGAACAGCTTTGTGGAGGCATTCGTCGATGAGATTATGCCGGGCAAGCAGCACGTGGAGAAGCAGATGGTTGTGGAAGGTCTTTCAGAAATGTCCCTGCCTCCACCAGTGGAATGTGACAGTGCCAATATGCAAGTGCCAAGTGTTCCCAAAGTCGGTGCAAGCCCTGCGAAAGGAAAAGATATGAATAAGCTCAAAATAGAAACCCTCAAGCAAAAGAGAAAACCGAAAAAATCAGGCTCCAAGCAACACCAATCGATTGACCAGCCGACAAGGAGAGCGGGACAACGGGATGCAGGCGGCAGCGCGGAATCCTGTACGGAGCCTTCCGGCAACGTGTCCTACAAGTGGTCTTCTCCAAACAAGCACAAGGGTTACAGGGTCTCATCACTACACGGAGCACGGCATGATGGCCAGAATTCCGAGAAAGATTATTGCGACACGGGCTGTGCAAATGATTTGAAGGTACACAGGAGCGCAGGATCATCGGTGGCCATTTCGAAAGATGACAGAACGCAACCGATTCCCGTCAGGCATTCGAAAAAACATCCGATTAAGGGTACGAACAACAAGAAGAGGCCTCCTCTTGGCGTTCCTGTGAACGGATTGTTGCACGCGCCAGAGCCCGCACCGCCGAGAGCACACGCAGCGTTTAAGCGTAGCGAGTCGTTGCTGAAGGACCCGGCGACTTCAGAGTGCAGCACAAAGAAAACCCGAGAGAGTGAGTACGACTTTGTGTCCGATTCCGAGGAAGAGTTGTTTGCGGAAAAGAATGCGTTGCACAGAATAAAAACCAAGAGGACTTTAGCGCTCGGGGACAATCACAGATCGGCGAAAGATGTTAATCAAGTGAACCGAAAATATAGCATTTCCAAGAATGGCAGTGAGAGCGAGAGCAATGTTTTCCACAGTGTGGACGATTCAGAAAGTGACCTTCACAGTCCCAGCAAGGCATGCGAGACATCTATTGAGCAGATTGGTGCGCGTAAATGTATCACCGATTCTGACGGCAATAATGAAAATGGACAAGTCAGTCGGCGGTGCTATGACAGTGATGAAACGGGCGGTCGGAGGCAAAAGATTTTTCCGAGCTCTGTCGAAGAAGCTTCCATTTCAACATTAACTGCCACTGAGGGCGATGTGAGTTTGAGAAATCTGAGAACGTGCTTTGGAAATGAGGCAGGCGCTCACGGAGCGCCCGCGCAAGATAAAGGTTTTATGCCCGGACAAGGAGCGATGCAAATTAATGACGCAGAGAATGATGAATCTGCAGCGGATTGTTACGAGGCTAGTAATGCACGCACCGGTGAAAAGGCCAATGTCCCAGCGTCAAGCCGGAAGCCCAGTGCCAAAGATGTTAATTGCGAGGGAACTCAAGATGGGTCTCAGGTTAATTCTTGCCCTGACACCTCAATGTGGTTAAACAAATCGGAGAATGACAATCCTTCTGTTTGGGCCGTGGCCAAACTTGCTCCTAACGATGAGACGGGAGCAAAAGTGCAGGAGAGTTTAGAGGCATTGGGCAAGGACAATGATGTACCGTTCATCCAGTTGGAGAATTTTTTCACAGACGGTGTTGATCGAGACAGCAAATTACAAGAGCGTGACCCGGTACATTTGGAGCATTTAGATAGGATCACTTCTGAAGTGAGTGTTTCCAGGTCTACCCCGTATATGTCTCGCTTGCCAGTTTCATCGCAACACACGCGTGATGGTGGCACTGGCGCAGGCGATCACAGTAAAGAGCTGAGCCACCGGCAATCAACCGTGAATTTCGATGAGCCACACACCAAAGAGACCTCGGAAGTACCTCACGACGACAGATGGGACTTTGACACGGAAAACATCCTCTCGGACTTGCAGCTTCCTGAATTTGATTGCACGCTCTTTCCCGAGATAGCAAATGAAAAGTCACTTCTCTTAGCGGAAGAGCACGTCGCCGACAGGGATCTTGATAATCAAAGAGAATTTGAGAACTTTGTCTCATTTGTCACTGACAAGGCCTGCATGGGCTTGTGCGACCAGGTAACCTTGACGGACGACCAACAAAACGATAACGGACCGCTAGCTTTTGCCAAATTGTGCGCTGACAGTGAAACAACCCACCAAAGTATTGACGCGAGTGCGTCGGTGAGCGTGAGCGAATCGGATCCGCCCGCCGCGTGTTCGGAAAGCGGCGATGGCCCTCTGTGCGATTTCGATATCTCCGCGACAACAGCAGCCCCGTCGCGCGTGACGCCGATTTCGGAGACCGGCGGCGTTAATCTTCACTCCTCGGCAGCTCAGGTGGACGCAAACGGCGAAGGCCTTCCGCCCGGCATGGCCGAGGCACTTAGCGTGCCACCACCCAGCGCCGATGTCGCTGGAGCCGATCCTCTAGAGATGCGAGAAATCAGCGCTGCGATGCACGACAGCTGCACGGGGGGCTTAATGGACGCGTTTGAAAACCACTCCGATGCGGACAACTTCCACCCCGACGGCAACGAGCACTTTTTCGGGGGAAATGACGCCACGGGTTTTTCCATCTTCGGCGAAATCTCCTCGCTGTCCGTCGCGGCGTGCGGCGACGGCGGTGCGGACTCTGATGGCGCAGAAAGGTTGCACGCCGACGCAAACCAAACCGTGTCGAGCCCCAACCAACATTTCCCGAAATATTTCCTGAACGAACTGCCGGTCATTAATGTGGTCGATGATGCGCCTGACAATAATCAACGGGCGGACGGTTTCCTGAAATTGGATGGGGACATGAACGAATGTGAACTCGCGTTGGACAACGCGGAGGGTTCAAGCGGGCGGACGGCAGAATCGCACGAGGTGAGCGGTGGCGCCCACGACTGCAGGGGCGTTAACTTTGATTTGCCGGTCCCCGAAGAGCAATCACTCACGTGTGAAACACAACACCAGCAACAGCAGCAGCAGCAACAGCAGCATCAACTAAATGAGCTCACAAGCAACGGGGCGACGTTTGCAGTTAAAATGAACGAAGCCTTGGCAGACATTCCCTGCAATGACGATGAAATGTTGAGCCCTCCACCGATAGCGCAGGATGCGCGCTCTGATTTTTCGTCACAGAGCGTGCCCATTTCGGAGGAGGGAAAACAAGTGCACGCTTGCCAGCGGATTACGGTGACGCAGCCGGTGCAGCAGCTTGAGGAAGGAGCGACATCAGAGGGAGGCTGGCACTCTAAATCCCTTCACTCTGCAGGCCACTTGACCTCTGAACAGCCGGGCTTGAATAACACCAGGAAGAGACAAGAAAATGAAAGTGCCCTTTCAGAGCTCTTCTTAGAGGCAGCTGTCGAAGCCAGCACAGGTACGAGCGAAAGCCCGTTCACTGGAGCGAACACGCGCGATGGTCGGGGCGCGGCAGACACCTCGCCGTGCGCGTCCGATTCGCCGGCAGCAATTCCGCTCGGCACGGACGGCGGGTCCTGGGAGTCGAGCGACGCGTTAGCAAACGCTGCCACCGATTGCCAGCCCCGTAGCGGCGTGACGGGGGCCAGCGAACAACGGGACGCGGCGGGTGAAGCGGGTGGGGCGAAGGGACGGGCCGAATGCTGCGCCGCGACACTTGAAGAGCTTGAAAACGCGAAAGGTTCGCCGGGAGAAATTTATCTATGTGGGAAAGGTACGAGCTGCCGAGAGACAGAAAATCAAACGGAGCCACTCGACACACGAGGATCTGATGGCCATCTCGGAGAATCTCCCAGCAAGCCCGCAGAGCGGTACTCGATCGCGAGGGCTGGAAACGAACTTTGTAGCTCATCGGATTCTTCCAGCATGAATAAATATTCAGATTGTGTGTCGCCGGGTGCCCAGCACGAATCTGATGAGCGCGACACTTGCCAGACATCTGGTGAAGAGCCCCAGGAATCTCCGACTAATGTGGCGGATAATGACTTCCTAAAATGTCTGCTACCGGCAGCTTTCTGTGGCACTGTATCCGATAGCAGGGACTGTGAAATGCATGGAGGGGAGTGCAATCAAAAAGGAGGAATAAATATGAAGGAGGACGCATTTGATGGTCGCGATGAAGGTAACGATTTTTCAGAGATGATCTTGCCAAAGTTCACGTCGTGCGCATCGAAAAGTGAGAGTGAAAAAAGCCCCATAAATGCTTGTGAAACTCAATCGGGCGAGTCTGGGACGTCTGAGCAAATGTTTGAAATCTACGGCAACCCATTTGCATCAACGCCATATTCCCCAACTTCTGGGGCTGCAGAGATATCAGCTGAACATCTCCAGCAGAGCGTGGGGTGTGGAGTGCAGGAGGTTTTTGGAAAAGGCGACGATAGCAAAGAAAATCCTGGCCCAGATACCGAAAATTGCTTTCAGGTCAGCACTTCAAACATGGACCACAGAGATGATTTCAAAGATAATGACGATAATGATAAGAAGACGATCATTGAAACTATGTCAAAACCAGATCTTATTATCACTCATGATTTTTACGATGCGAGCTGCCAGCATTCTCCCGGGAGTGTGGAAACAATTGCGGTTATTCGCGACAGCATTTTAAATGGCTGAAGCTGCGACGCCGGATTACAGTGACGTGGAAAATAAATTTGAAAATGACAGCTCTGGTATCGACGCTTCCATCTCGAGGGGAGCAAACACCGGCAAAAGGGTGCACGGTCAAAAAAAGAAAAAATTGCACACAATTGAATCGGGCTGCAAATCTCAAAATGAGTTCCTTCACCACTGTGGGATTAATCCTGGAATTCGAATCGGCCAGAGCCACAATCGCGTAGAGTCTCACATCTCTGAGAATAACCCAAAAGTAGACGGACTTGATAAGAGTAGACTAGATGGCGTAAAAAGCAATTCCGGTTGCATTCTGTCGATTGTGGCAAAATCCACCGACGTCTGTTTTATCGTGGAAGATAAAGGTGCGGCAGAGAGGAGCAGCTGTAAAGATTACGATCAAAGTATACAGCAGGGTCTGCTTCTTACAGAGGATGAGCATTGTCTCGAGTCGCAAAATGAGGCCCGTGAGTTGAAAGACCACACAGGTGATGCAAGTGCTGGCCTTCCTGCAAGGGATGACAGAGCTGTGAATTCGGCAGCAGCTGCTGCTTCTGCAGCGAGCGGCGGTAATGAAAGCACCTGTGTCCTGCCGATGCCGCGGATAGACGCTGCAGTGAGGGCAACTCGGCGGGAAAACATTCAACAGTTTGATGAGTGTACAATATCTCGGAGGAAGCCACGGGGCTTATCTGATGATGAAAGTAATACTCTGCGGTGGCAGTCGAACAAAAAACGGTCAGCAGGCGTTGCAGCCGGCATCAAAGACGGCAGCGAAAGCACGGAGGCCGAGCGAGCGGAGGAGTTGGTCAAAGGCAGGGGCGGCATCCAGATGAACACCGAGGAGGCGGCGAGCCACCCCGAGCACGGAGCGGCGACTTACGTGAAAGACGCCGCCCCGGAAGAGAGGGATTCGTCGGGCGGCAGTGGGGGGGCGCCTTCAAGTGCCAGCGATGCCAATCGCCGCTCGTCAGGCACGTCAGAGGCGGCGGACGCCGTGGCGACAAGGGCCGAGAAGAGAACAGGCCGCGCGGCGGAGCCCGCCACGTCCCCCGCCACGTCCCCCGCCGGCTGGGTGCCTTCAGAAAATGGAACCGCGGCGGGGCAACATGTGGCGCGCTCCGCTCACGCGGGGAAGCTGCCGCCCGCCGCACCTGCCCTTTCCTGCGAGTTCTGCGAGGCTACTTTCGCCACCGCCATCAGCCGGAGCAGACACACCGTGATAAAACATCACATCAGACGCGTTCCTCGCCCCGGCGCGGGTGATAACGCGGAGGCTGGAATTGATTCGGGCGTCAGAATGGAAAGTTTGGCTTTAGAAAATCCCACAGTGTTAATTAATCACTCGGAAAATCCTTCCGTATTAATTAAGCAGAGCACAGAAAGAGACGATGAGGGGACTCGGGAAGATGAAATGAAGGGTGCGATAACATCAGCTATTTCTATGCTTCTTTGTCGCCGTCCTGGATCAGCTACAGTGAAGCAGCAGAGCATTTCAGAGGTCGATTCAGACGGTGAAGAGAACTCATTGTCCGGTTGTGCGCCGATCGGAAGATCCGTGTCTGTTCGGGAAGCTGAACGCCGTGACACGAATTTAAGCCGCGTTAACCATTTCTCAGATTTCGCCGAAAAGCCGAGCAGAAAAATCTCCCCAAAAGACACAAAATTAAGGGCAGCAAAACACTTCGATGGATTTTCCAAACAAAGGAGAAGTGAAAAAGTAAACAAGCTCAAAAAGAGGCACGCCTTCAAGAGGAGGATTTCCAAATGCGCCCCCAAACGGGAAGGAAGCAAAACGTTCACACGTGAATCTGAGCGCGAACAATCTGCTGCCAAAAAAACGAGTGCATCTTCAGATACGCCTTTGAGTAAAAATTCAAGGGAATTCAGGAGCACCGCATCGGCTGCTGTTAAATCCACGGCCAGTGTTTATCAGAGCCCTTCAATAACCAACAGTGAGAAATGCAATAAAATTGAGTCCAGCAAACGGCACTGTGAGAGGGTGGCCACACACTCTGAGAGTATTGGCGACGTTGCCTCGGTTGGCACAGAGAGTCCCCTCTCTTATTCAGGAGTACGCAAGCAGACAAGCCAGCCTGAAGTTGATGGTCACTGTTCTGAACACGCAATTAAATTGGCAGATTTTCAAGAGGCGCGCGGGATGGGATGTGCGGCTGTTGCTGATTGTGCCAACGCCACAGAGGTTTTGTCAGGTTGGGAGAAGGCTGCAAAAAAAACGGAACATCCGTGCGATGGCAAGGTCAGCGCCGACACCTGCGTGGCGCTCCACAAAGAAGAAGGAGAAGCAGCAGCGACGACGATCGTTGAAGACGCACGCGCTGTCGGGCGCGACGTGCAGCGACGTGCTGCCGGGCGTTGTGGTGCAGCGGCGGACGCTCGTCTGACCCAGACCGCGACGCGACCCAGGGCGCAGACGTCGACGCTCGCGCCGCTCGCAGCGCGGTCCGCCGCGGAGATCGTCGACGGCAAGGAAACGGGCAAAGCGGTGCCTGCGCATGACCGCGGGGGAGGGGCCGCGGATTCGGAAAGCGGCCAGGGCCCCGCAATCGAGACGGGCGACGGTGACGTCCCGCTTCGGGAAGAGGGTGCCGTCACCGAAGACGCGGCGGGTGCGTACGCGACGGCGGATGCGAGCAGCGCTACAAACCGGACGCTGCAGCCCGAGCACAGGCGACATGCCCGCGGGTGAAAGTGAAATTCAAGACGTCGACAAACTCAAGGACGACGTTTCCAGTCCGCGAAACAAAGGGCGGTGGCGACGAGTCGAAAACGCTTCCGGGGGATGGCGCAAAGTCGCAGGGAAAGCCGTACGCGTGCAAAGCTTGTGGCCTGGATTTCGGCACCGACGTCGAGCTGAGCGAGCACGCGGGCAGCCACAGCCTGCTGCTGCCCGTGCCCACGTGCTACATGTGCGTGCAGAGGAAGTTCAGCTCGCTGGAGCAGCTCAAGGAGCACCTGTGGTCCAAGCACACAAAGAACAAGCCGGCCAGTTGGACGTGCGGCATGTGCCTGAGGGCCTTCACCGACGTGTGGCTCTACAACGAGCACCTGCGCGAGCACGCCGCGCAGTTCTCAGAACACACCGGCCACGCGCAGAGGAGGTCCTCGCTCGCCGCCCGCTCCGAGAGGCCCAAGGAAAACGCCCGCGTCTCCGCAAAGAAGCACAAGCCGGCACGGGCAAAACCTCGACCGACGGACGCCGAGAACTTGAAACCGTCCGCCAAGGCCGAGGAGGAGCGCAGGCGCGCCAAGCGCAGGAAAGCGCCCGCCGCAGCTGCTGAAAGGGAAAGCGATAAAAGTGAATACAAACAGAATGAATTTTTCGCCTCCGACTTGTCGATGTTTGATTTCCCCGTCGATGATGAGCAGTCGGCAAGAACGCACCCGGAGTGCAATGACCCCTCGAGGGATTGCCATCACTGCGGAAAGCAATTTCCCAAGCCCTTTAAGCTGCAGAGGCATTTGGTTGTGCACAGTGTGCAGAAGATGTACCTCTGCCACTGTTGTCCGTACGCATTTAATGATCCGTCTCAGCTGAAGTCCCACCTGGCGGCCGTGCACGGCCTGACGGAGGAGCTGGACGCCAAGCACGTGACGATTTACGACTGCGAGCAGTGCGCCAACGTCATGAACATCATCAAGAAGTCGTTTGTGTGCAACACGTGCAATTACGTCTTCTGCAAAAAGGAGCAGTACGACCGGCACGTCGACAAGCACCTGAAGGGGGACTCCAACTCGGTGAAGTACCAGGGGGCGAAGAGGCCGCTGCTGCTGACGGGGGAAGAGCTGCCGAGAAAGAGGTGGTCCCCCGCCCCGCATCCCGCCAGCGCCAGGAAGGGCGGCAGGGATAAGAAAAAGCGCAAGGGAAGCTCCGAGCGTGAAGCGCCCGCTCATAACAAGAAGCACAAATGCGCCGCGCAGCAGGGCGAAGGGGACAGAACGGAGCGGTGCCCCGCCGTGGCGAAAAGCGCCGGCGGCAGCGGCGAAGCCGTCGTCGCACGAGGCGATAAAGTGCAAGTGAAAGCGGCATCCGCAGACGAGCCGATTCGAGCCAAAACATCTTGCTCCAAGGCAAGTGCCGATGTGGGTTTGCCAGCGAGCGAGGGCCCTAAAGATGACACCATTTGCCAAGATCCTCCATCTTTTCACAATCAGGAGGAATCCAAAAAGTCCACGGGTAAATCTGCGGAGCACCCAGCCGAGGTTTTAGAGAAGGCAGACTCCAGTCAGGAGGCCACAAATGGGAAACGAGCGGACAATGTTCAAGTTGTTGACAAACAGAGCAAATGCATCTCGAACTCACCTGCTGCTGACAAGGGGAGCCATGAGGTCAGTCACCAAGGGAAAGTTGCGCCCGAAGGTTCGCTCGCCTTAACGCAAACGAGCAAAGGTGTTGAACGGCACACACTCACCAACGGGTTTAAGGTGGTCAAACGACAAGGTTCTGCCGGCCACAAACCACAGACAAGTGACAATCATTTGAGGCTCGCAAAGTCTAAGACCGTCAAGAAATTACCACCGCTGCCTCAAATGAGGCACAATTTGTCGAAGACTTGGATCCCAGTTAAAAATAAATCGCAAGCTCCATGCACAGCCAAACAGCAGCGTCAGACAGCTGAAGCCCAGGACAGCATTTTAAGCCAGCTATTTGGTCGGAAGCTGACCAACTTTAAGATCCCTTTCAAGAAAGAGCCTGTGGAATAATTTTACACTTGACATGGCATGCATTCAAATTTGACAGTGAAAGTGTGCAAGTGAAATTCCTTGTGTCTTTAAAGTGTACGTATGTTTGATGCAAGATAACGATAGAGCGTGGTTCTGCAACAAAGCGATGCATCGTTGAACATGTATTATGATGGTAAAAAGGGTTTTGCACAATTATTTTTGGCAATTCTTCACACGTAAAAAAAACAGATCCTGTCTTTAGCCTTATAGACTGCAGGGGCAAGTCGGTTTAGTACCTATTAAGCCTAGAGTGGCACATGA